AGCAGCAGCAGCAGCAGCTATTGAAAGCGAAAGCATAACTCTGACAAGGTAGCTTAGTTTGTGTTTATTTCTGTTGTCGTTTTTTTCGCACTGCTAAAACTGGTTCGCTGTCTGGGATTGTGGGCAGCCGCAGGTTTTCTAGAGACCACTTCAATAACACACTGAGCCAGGCCCGGGGTCGGGCTACAGACCACTCTCGACCGACTACTACAAATTTGCAGTCTCGAGTCGTTGGCAGCTGTAATTGTTCTGCCAGTTGACTCTTGTTTTTGTTGTTGTTGCTGTTGACTGTGGCTGTGGCTGTAATTCCATATTCTTCCTGCATTCCGAAACCTTGAATCACATTTCTTGCATTTAATTGCACACATTTTCAACAGTTTGCTGTTGTTGTTATTGTTGTTGTCGCTGCGGCGCCGCTGAGTGCCCGTCGTTGACCGCCGCGCTGGGTCAGTTTTAATAGTTGCTGGCGCGGCTGCTGCAACTGCAATTGGAGCTGTGACTGCGACTGCAACGGCTACTGCTACTGCGACTGCACTGTGACTGTGACTGTGACTGGCTGGCCTACCTCTTACTTGCACGCATCGCCAGTTGACGGCCTGGTTTTAATGCCAAGCCGCAGTCAGCGAGTGCGTATTTGTTTATGTGCGAGTGCAGCGGCATATCAATTGCAATTGCATTGCCGGCCACCGGTTGGCCATCACATTGCCTTTACATTAAGAAATCATGTTAATTGCGTTGATTAACATTTAATATGACGCTGAGTCAATTGACGCAGCAGCTTAAATAGTCAGCTCTGCTCAATTGAAGGAATGATGAGTGGACAAGTAGCTGAACTAACAATTCTATTTGAAAAACTTCTCCGTAAATAACGGAATTCATAAATATGAATTTGGTATATTCGACATCACATAATTTTATTATTAAAGCTAAAACCTCGCTATGATAACATTGATTACAGTGCTACGATATAAACATTAAAGTTCACACATAATCCTTATGAATTCAGCTTTAACCCAATCCTTTAAAAACTAACTCTGCCAGGGTAAGCCAACTACATTCTACACAGACAACGTGGCGTATACGCAACACGCCTAGAGCTGTTGCTGGAAATGCCAGGCGCATGACTCAAGCACAAGACAGGCAATACACACTCACACACACACACACTCACACACACACACACCCGCAAAACATGCACGCACACACATTCACTCAGACACACACACACATGTATGGTTTCAGCCAATTAGGTGAAGTTCAACTAGAGACTTAGCTTTTTTTTCTTCATTTTGCTATTTTGGGTCGGTAAGTAGAAGCCGTGCCCTGAGGCCGGCAATCGCACAAAAAGCCAATCCATAATTAGCTACAAGCATCAACAACAATTCGAACTGGATGCTAGTTGCCTACACACACTCACACACACACGCACACACCTAGACATGCTGAACTTTTAGGCAAATAAATTCCATTTGCAGCTCCCGCCTCAAAATGCAAAACGTAACGGCGCAGATCAATTGAGGAATGGTTCGCTTTGGGGGCAGCCGAAATACAACAATGCGACGCTGGCAGCGCAGTCGACGCAGCTGGCGACCACAGTGCGCCGCGTGCATACAAAACGAGCTAGCTTACAGTTAAAAGCGACGCGTCGCTAATAATTACAATTAAACGTGTACACGAAAGAGACAGAGAAAGAGAGAGAGACAGAGAAGGAGACACAGAGCGTAAAAGTAAGAGAGCGTAAGCAGCGCTGCATGAGCGAAAACAAGAGAGAGAAAGGCCAATTCACACAGGTGCGACAAGGCCAGGTAGCTTCTGTAAGTAATACTAAAGCTGACTGCTATGAGCCCCAGACCGCCTTGCTGTGCTGTGTACCGTTGCAATCGTTTGCCAGTGAACGTCGCGTCGCCACTGACGGCGCTGCGCAGCCGGCGTGCGCGTCGCTGCCGCCGCCAACGTTCGTCTGGATTGTTCGCGGCTGGCGCGCATGCGCAGCGGTATAAAAAGCTCCCGCACCAGCCAGAGCCACACACAGTTTCAAGTCGTCGGTCCAAGTGGTGCGCAAAGTCAAAGTTTTGTTCAAGTGCTGCGAGCGCCTCCCCCCCTACTCTCTCAGATTCGGTTACGTATCGGCGAGCAACGGTTAAAAGCGTTATTACCAAATACACAACAGCAATAAACTAAAACCGCACAATGAAGAGATTTTTAGTTGTGTTTGTGGCATTATTCGGAGCCGGTATGTATTAATTGTTAGCTACATACATACATACATACACACCTACATGCATATCTATGTCGATAAGAGCAATGAGAGAAATGCCCAAGAGCCGAGACAGCGCTCAAGGAGCCAAAGACAGCTTGCGCTTACGCAATCAGCCAACCGCTGAAGGACACTTGACAAGCGTTCAAGCTGCACAGTGCTAAAAAAAAAAACAAAAAACGAACAAGCCAAAAAAAAAAAAAAAAAGATGAAAGAAAGAAGTGTTTTTTTAAATGGAGTGTGTTATAAAAGCGTCCGCTTGTGCAACAAGTGACCAGCAGCTCTGATCAACTATCGCCCAGCTTGGCCCACTTTCGAATTCGAATTCAAAAAGGCGGAAAATACAAAATGAAAATCACAAAATAGTAGAAGAAAACAAATGTAAACAGAAATAAGCGAAGGCGAAAAATCCAAATGCAAACCATAAGCGTAATCGAGCCAAAGAGCCAATTGGAGTTAGCCATGTTGCAGCAACCCAACACGTTTACTTGCATTTTCTATAGCCCACCCCAACCACGCACACGATCACATTCGCTGTAGATGTATCTATAGCTGTATCTATATCTGTAGCCGTAGCTGTATCTGTTTTTGTATCTGTATCTGTATTATTGGCTCGAATCGATTTCGTTACCTCATCGCGTGGCGACGCCTTTCTGAGTGCAAGAAATTACAACAGAGTCAGACGCTGACGTTGTCTGTTTCGGCTTGGCTGCACCACTCGCTTACATCATCATCATCATCATCATCAACATCATCGCCAGCATCATCATTATCTGCACGATGATCGCTGTTATAAATGATCTCAAGTCTTGGGCCAATTTATGGCCACATTTGCATGACATTCATGACATTGACATTGAAATCCCTTCTCTTCTGCTTCTGCATCTGCTTCTGCTTCTTCTTTTTCACAATATTTGCACAAAACAAAAAACAAGCAAAAAAATTTACATATTTTTATGACACGTTGGCAGCCGGCTAATTGAAAAGATAACTGCGTGATATTTTGTTTTTGATTTTCGGCACAGGAATTTCAAATACGCAGCTGACACGCCCAGGCGGCCCATTAGCCAAACTTGTTTCAACTGGGCCATCAAAGTGTTTTTAGCCGCAGCATTGTTGACGTTTTGACTTAGTCTCTCTAGTTGTTGTTGTTGCTGTCGTTGGTTATTCAACTTAAAAGCAACAACAACAACAAACATAAAATCGAAGAAAAAAAGTAAAATCGCCTCTGGCCAATTGCGTGCCATGCATTTTGTTGCCGTATTTTCTTAGCCACTTCACTTTTAATTGGCAACAATTTTCAAAGTTATTAAACTTAACAACAGCAAAACAACACTTAATGGGCCTAAGCCAGGCGCATGCAGCGCATTGTCAAGTTCAAGTTGCTTGTTGTCGTAGTTGCTGCTGTTGCTGCTGTTGTTGCTGCTGTTGCTGTTGCTGTTGCTGCTGGCAAATAAATTATGCAACATCAAATGCTGTTGGCCAAATACGCAAACACTTGGCCCAAATGTTGCCACAAGCATGCTAATCACGGCGATAAACAATTTGAGCTGTTCAAAAGATTTCCGAAAAGCGACGAAAAACACAATAAATTTCCGCATTCGGTTGCGCGACTCATTTTTTTTTTTTTTTCTTGCTGCTGGATTTTTGCATTGGCTGCCGCTGCTGCTGCTGCTGCTGCGGTTTAGTATCAGCAGCAGCAAAAAGCGTAACAAATGCAAACAATATATGTGTGCTGCCATTTTGTTATTGCCACACCACAGCAACAACACAGCCAGCAGCAGCAGCAGCAAGTCACGCTTGAAAAGTTTTTATTTTGTGGCAACAAAATCAAATGAAATGGCCAAAGCACACACACACACACGCTCACACACAGAGACTCACAGCTGCGCGAGCTATGGCTTGCATTAGTGGCACAACAAACACCAGCCACACACACACTCGCACACACACATTAGCTGGGTATCTGCGCTGATTTATGGGACCAGCGGCAAGTGTAAAAAAAAGTCAACAACAAATACCAAAAATAAAAATAAAAACAAAATACAACTCTTAAATGCGCTGACGCCACTCGAAAGTCAATTTGCGTGCCACATTTTTGCCATTTGCTGCCACTCGTGTGGCCCTCTCTCTCTCTCTCTCTCTCACACACACATACTCTTTCTCTCAGCATTTTTGTGGTAGCGCAGCTCAGGCTGTCGTCGATGCGTTAAATTTGAAAAATAAATCTATAACTTTTTTGAGCATAGGCTAAGGCGGATTTATGGCTCAATATGACGCGTCAGAAACTATTTGAGAATATGGCATGAATGACGCACAAACTCGACAACAACAGCAACAACAACAGCAGCAACAACAAATACTAGGCAAACAATTGAAAAGCAGATTAACCCACATACGTTGCATGCCGGCAGCAATGTGGGTAAATATTTAAATATCATTATGGCAGAAAGAAAAATAAAAATAGAAACGGCTTCTTGGCTTAGCTTAAAGAACCAAAAGCGAAGAGCACCAGCAACATTTAGCGGAAATGCTGCTACAAACCAAAATTGTTGCTGTTGTTGTTGTTGCTGTTGCTGTGCAAATATCGTAGCCCCCCTAAATTGCCGTTAGTCAAAGTAGGAGCTACGAAAGAAACGTAACGAAACGAAATGAAATGAAACGTGCTTAAATGTCAGCAATTTTCTTGATTTATATGGCCGGCAATGTCTTGGCGCCAGACAACAATGGCAACAACAACGGGCAAATAGAATTTGCCAGAGGCCCAAATGATAGATAGTTGCAAGTGCCACAAAACACCTATTGTGAGCTGCTAGCTAGAAGACAAAAAATAGCGCCAACAACAATAACATTAAGCTGAAGCTCTGATTGCAGCCCTCTTGCGGCTAACGATTATGAGTCCAAATACAAATATACACACCAAAGACACAGCAAATACACACCACATACTTGGGCAGCCGTCTGGCAGGGCAACTTTCAGCACAGTTGACTTCAAGTGTTTTTCGCTGGAATTTGTTGCCTTTCAAGTGGGTGTGCGAACGTCTAAGTGTGTGTGTGTGTGTGTATTTATACACATCTAGCTTGAGCAGTTCAATGCACCGGCCCCTGTTGATATTCATATTTATGAGTCACTGTAGCGCAGGCTCAATGCCTGACACGAAATGCAAATTTGTCATTATTTGTCATGATATTTGCAGGACACGTAGCCATACGAATTTTGATATGCATCTAGAAAGGAATGCCATAGATGACAGCATTGATGAATGGCCTGTAACTGATATTGCAGTAAAAGTTGATATAAGAACTGCTTAAGGCTGAGAGGGATCTCTGGCTAGAGAGGCATATCGAAGATATATGGACAAAATTTAAGAGCAAGAGCTGTCAGGGAGAAGAAAGATAACTAAAGAATTATAAATAAATTTCAGAGCAAGAGCTGACAAGGAGAATAGAACTAAGAGTGTCATTTAATTGAAATTAATTCCCAATATTCGACAAATCTATATAGCATATATATATACCATCCTTATATACACTCTACTACTTCTATAAATACAAATCTTTCCTCAAACAGAAAAGTACAAGTAGAGCAGCAGGATCTCAGTTAGTTAACAACAAACATATTGTTTATATATTCTCTATCCGTTACATATTTTGTCTAATTCAACCTTAACTAACATATTTAAATGAACCTTGTTCGAGCTGCACTACAATTAAAACTCTCACTCTATGTGAAAGCCCCATTTGGCAATTGATTGCCTTGGGGGGGGCCGTATGTAGCAATAATAATAATAGTAATAATAGTTAATGCTCTGCCATGTGCATATCACATATCAATTGACATTGTTGTAAATAAATTACGTAGCTGTAATTTGCGAATGTATTCATTGTTTAAATTGAATTATTCATTTATTTGTGTTATTTGCATCTTGACAATGTCTGTCATTTAGGTGCAACATAAATTAATATAACTCAATTTTTTTTTCGCTGTAATATTTTTTCTCCTCTTTATTAATTTGAATGCTGTGAAGCGCGTTATCAACTCTGTGTCTGTGTGTGTGTGTGTGTGTGTGTAAAGTTTTGGTTAATTAAATGATTATGTTAATGGACGACCGGATAAACAGGCGTAGATATAAGTAGAAACAACAACAACAGCAGGAATAGTTGACTGCAGCAGCTGGAACGATATGCATTCAACCGACAAGACCAATACAATTGGCGGTTTCACTGTTAAAATGTCAATAAAAATTTATTATTTAAACACACACATGCTTACATACAGTTTAAAAAAAAAGTACGTAATTAAGCGCTCACAATTGATAGATAAAACAATTATTGCAAACAGCAAATTAAACAACATGCAACATGCGACAACAATCAGTCTAACTAAGTAAAGCCCGCTAATTTGCGAGATTGGCCAATCGAGGCATTTAAGCCATGTGCGACAGAAGAATGCGCAGGGCGTGCCGGCCGGAACTGTCAGCCGCAGCGTGGCTTAATTGCGAGTGGGTTAGTAGTCGTAAGTGGCAGCAGACTCGTTGCCAATATCACGTCTAACCGGTTTAGCCGCAACTCGAATGCGGCCTAGAATCGCTTGGCTTTTGCTTTCGTTTTCGTTATCGTTTTCGTTTTCATTTAGCAGATCAGCTTCTAGAATGAATGCTTAATTAGCGCTCGAAATATTCCACAAATGACATCAGTGAGTGGTTCCTCGAAGCGTACTTCAAATCAAACCAAGGAAATACCATGAAATCAAAATGCGCTCAAAACAATAATAGCTAAAAGCGAAAGGTATTAGGAATAGAGACGAGCNACAAATATACACACCAAAGACACAGCAAATACACACCACATACTTGGGCAGCCGTCTGGCAGGGCAACTTTCAGCACAGTTGACTTCAAGTGTTTTTCGCTGGAATTTGTTGCCTTTCAAGTGGGTGTGCGAACGTCTAAGTGTGTGTGTGTGTGTGTATTTATACACATCTAGCTTGAGCAGTTCAATGCACCGGCCCCTGTTGATATTCATATTTATGAGTCACTGTAGCGCAGGCTCAATGCCTGACACGAAATGCAAATTTGTCATTATTTGTCATGATATTTGCAGGACACGTAGCCATACGAATTTTGATATGCATCTAGAAAGGAATGCCATAGATGACAGCATTGATGAATGGCCTGTAACTGATATTGCAGTAAAAGTTGATATAAGAACTGCTTAAGGCTGAGAGGGATCTCTGGCTAGAGAGGCATATCGAAGATATATGGACAAAATTTAAGAGCAAGAGCTGTCAGGGAGAAGAAAGATAACTAAAGAATTATAAATAAATTTCAGAGCAAGAGCTGACAAGGAGAATAGAACTAAGAGTGTCATTTAATTGAAATTAATTCCCAATATTCGACAAATCTATATAGCATATATATATACCATCCTTATATACACTCTACTACTTCTATAAATACAAATCTTTCCTCAAACAGAAAAGTACAAGTAGAGCAGCAGGATCTCAGTTAGTTAACAACAAACATATTGTTTATATATTCTCTATCCGTTACATATTTTGTCTAATTCAACCTTAACTAACATATTTAAATGAACCTTGTTCGAGCTGCACTACAATTAAAACTCTCACTCTATGTGAAAGCCCCATTTGGCAATTGATTGCCTTGGGGGGGGCCGTATGTAGCAATAATAATAATAGTAATAATAGTTAATGCTCTGCCATGTGCATATCACATATCAATTGACATTGTTGTAAATAAATTACGTAGCTGTAATTTGCGAATGTATTCATTGTTTAAATTGAATTATTCATTTATTTGTGTTATTTGCATCTTGACAATGTCTGTCATTTAGGTGCAACATAAATTAATATAACTCAATTTTTTTTTCGCTGTAATATTTTTTCTCCTCTTTATTAATTTGAATGCTGTGAAGCGCGTTATCAACTCTGTGTCTGTGTGTGTGTGTGTGTGTGTGTAAAGTTTTGGTTAATTAAATGATTATGTTAATGGACGACCGGATAAACAGGCGTAGATATAAGTAGAAACAACAACAACAGCAGGAATAGTTGACTGCAGCAGCTGGAACGATATGCATTCAACCGACAAGACCAATACAATTGGCGGTTTCACTGTTAAAATGTCAATAAAAATTTATTATTTAAACACACACATGCTTACATACAGTTTAAAAAAAAAGTACGTAATTAAGCGCTCACAATTGATAGATAAAACAATTATTGCAAACAGCAAATTAAACAACATGCAACATGCGACAACAATCAGTCTAACTAAGTAAAGCCCGCTAATTTGCGAGATTGGCCAATCGAGGCATTTAAGCCATGTGCGACAGAAGAATGCGCAGGGCGTGCCGGCCGGAACTGTCAGCCGCAGCGTGGCTTAATTGCGAGTGGGTTAGTAGTCGTAAGTGGCAGCAGACTCGTTGCCAATATCACGTCTAACCGGTTTAGCCGCAACTCGAATGCGGCCTAGAATCGCTTGGCTTTTGCTTTCGTTTTCGTTATCGTTTTCGTTTTCATTTAGCAGATCAGCTTCTAGAATGAATGCTTAATTAGCGCTCGAAATATTCCACAAATGACATCAGTGAGTGGTTCCTCGAAGCGTACTTCAAATCAAACCAAGGAAATACCATGAAATCAAAATGCGCTCAAAACAATAATAGCTAAAAGCGAAAGGTATTAGGAATAGAGACGAGCATTGTTTATTTTTAAAATTAAATACATTTTTGTTTGGCTCTGAATTTTATAAAGAAATATATCTATATATACATAAAAAGCATATTATTCTTATTAGTTTTATATTTCTTATAATAGACTTGAAATCAAATAAAGGAAGTCGGTAAGCATCTGTTTACTGAGGAAATACCGAGCAACCTTAATCATATTGTGTATTTATAGTAAATATATGATAATACCTATAAAAATATATAGAATGTAGAGCTCATATTAGACAAGCTTAGTATTCGAATTCGCATCTCTTTAGGTTTTTCTGTGGTTAAACAACCTCGAGCTGAGTTAACAAACATTTAATTGTGTTGCTGGCTGCTCTTTGATCAATTTGAGTTTAGCTTTCATTAGAACATTCCACTGGCTCTCTTTCCTTTCTGTGCCCTTTTTACTTTGCTGCAACTAGTGTAAATTTATAGCGTATACGCCACTTTGGCCGGCAGCAGGCGCCAGCAGCAGCGGCAGCAGCTGCTCAAAGGTAATTGTTTAGTTAACATGTGGTATTTACGCTACGCGACAAATGTACACACACACACACACACACATGCGCACACATGGAGTAAGTGAGACATACAAATGTACATAACTCAATGTAATCATCAGTGTGGGCATCGCAGCACACTATGCACATATGTAAGCGCATTAGTGCTGCGGTCTGCTGCTGCGGCTGCCACAG